GAGAAAAGTCGAGTTCCAGAGACACTACATGTAGCAGGATATGCTTTTTATAAAAAGTCCAAAAACACTAAACCTCAACAATATGTTCTTTCGGTTTGCATTTGTGTGTAACAGTAATTAAGAAGCAAGGGAACAATACACAGTAGATTCAGGATAGCAGGCTCCTCTAGAAAGAAGGAGAAGGGGCAGGAGACAGGATGGGGAGGAGCACATAAGTAGATGTAAATTAGTGCTAATTTTTCTAGTCCTCGGTTTGAATGATGGGTTCATCAAGGGTCCATTACATAAATATGTGTTAAGTTTTTAAAAAATATAATAAAAGAGCCAGGTATAGTTTGTCTTGAACCACAATTACGAAAAAAAATCCAACTTTGTGCATCCAAGGATCAGATTTTTTTTAAATAAAGGATAAAAGGAATAAGAAATGAATAGCCAAGTACTCACTATCAAATTTGAGAGATAATCGCCTGGCCAACATGGTGAAACCCCATCGCTACTAAAAATACAAAAATTAGCCAGGCGTGGTGGCTCATGCCTGTAGTCCCAGCTACTTCGGAGGCTGAGGCAGGCGGAGAAACTCTCGAATCCAGGAGGTAGAGGTTGCAGTAGGCTGAGATGGCACCACTGCACTCCAGCCTGGGCGACAGAGGAAAACCCTGTCTCAAAAAAAAAAAAAAAAGAAAAGAAAGAAAAGAAAAAGAAAGAAAACAGTGTATATATAATTGAAGCTCCTTGTGTTTTGTGTACCCATCCCCAATGCCATTTCCCTTTTTAGTCCCCAGAGAACACCTCATTCCTGACTAGTGTTTTATGTTCCTTTGCTTCTCTTTTAAAAAATTTCAATGCATACATATGCATCCATGAACAACAGATAGTGGTTTTTGCATGACCGAAAACATTAATGAAATTGTATGATTCTATGCATAATAGCCTACTTCTGGCTTTATTCACTCAACACTATATTTTGGCATCGGTAGCACCACTTTCCTCATTTTTCTCATCTGTAGAGTATGTGTTTTTTGTAACTTTTATTTCAGGTTCAGGTTCACGTTTGTTATATAGGTAAACTTGTGTCATGGCAGTCTGTTGTACAGATTATTTCATCACCCAGGTGTTAAGTCTAGTACCCAATAGGTCTTGCTTTTTGTTCCTCTCCCTCCTCCCATCCTCCACCCTCAACTAGACCCCAGTGTGCTATATATTTTACATGAATGTGGTACAATTCATCCATTTACTCGGTGAAGGACATTTAGTTGTTTATATATTTTTGCTGCTACAAATAATGCTACCATCAACATTCTTAGACTTATCTCCCTATGCACATGTGCAAGAGTTTCTCTAGATCATGCCTTGAAATAGAATGGCAGGTCATGCACATCTTCAGCTTCACGAAGCAATGCCACATTGTTTCCCAAAGTGTTTGTGCCAGCCTGCACACCCACCAGCATTTTATGAGAGCTCCCATGGCTCTACATCCTCACCAACCTTGGTATCATCCAACTATTTCATTCTTGCCATTTTGGTAGGTAGGGAGTGTTAGTATGGTTTGGCATTTCTCTAATTACTAATGAGATGCAACATCTTTTCTTGTGTTAATAGGACATTCATGTAGCCTCTTGTAAAAGACATTTTTGTGGCTCTTGCCAAGTTTTTGTCTATTGGAATGTTTGTCTTTTTTAATCAATGTACAGGCATTAATTCTATATTCTGGATATGCTTTTGTGGGTTTTTGTGTATGGGAAATATCTTTTCACTCACTTTTTTATTTTTAGTTGAATGACAGTTTAAAATTTTGCTAGTGCTAAACTTAGTTTTTTTCATTTTCAGTTTGTACTTCTGATATCTTGTTTAAAGAATTCTTCCTGACTTTGTGGTGACATATATGCAATCTCTAAAGCAACTTCTGTAGATATCAGGTTTCCAAATTTCCTGGCTATTTACTGTGTCGTTATTCTATTGGTCTCTGTGCCAAAACCATCTTAACCACTGCAACTTTATAATAATGTCCACTAGGGCAAGTTCTCTTCACTTAGTTGTTGACATTGCTATGTTACTGTTGTCTTCTTCTCTTCCCTGTTCTCCTTTTTCTTCCCTCCTTCCCCTTCCACCTCTCCCTCTCCTCCTCCTCCTCCTCCTCCTTGTTCCTCTTATCTTCTTTCTTCTCCTGGAATATCTAAGCTATATTTTACTATTGCTCTATATGCTATACATTTTAGAATCACCCTGTCAATTTCCATGGAAAACCTTATTTAGATTTTGATTTCAATCATATCTCTCAACTATTGAATTTATCAATTATGTTGTAAAGAATTCACATGTTTGTGACACGGAATCTTTCCACGATGGAACATGACATGTCTCTCCCATTTATTTAGAACTTCTTTAACATCTTTCTATAAAGTTTTATCATTTTTCACATAAAGATCTTGCACATCTTTTGTTAGATTTATCCCTAGGTTTTTGTTCTTTTGAAAACGGTATCTTTTTTGAATATTATCTTTTATGACTTTTTATTGCTAGTCTACAGAAACGCTCCATTAGTTCCTTTTTTAAACAGATAGATTTCAACTACTCAAGACTCAGACGGGAGTAGATGTGTCAACAGGCACTCAGCAAATTAGATATTCAGAACAGACATTCAGCAGACAATGGCATGGTTGTACTGATTACAAAATTCTTGAAATATTTCCATAATGGGGCCCCTTGATTTCTTTCCTGTCACGCTGGCCATCCTGTCCTCTCCCCAGGGACAGGCCCAGACCTCTCCAAGGTCCAGACACCACTGTATTAACACCAGGTATGGCACAGGGCTCAAGTCTTGTTCCACTGGGAAGGCCAGTGTCTGTTCTGGGTGTTTGATTCTCATACCTTGTGAGTGGTTAAATATCTTTAATATTATTTCTTAGGTTTGTATGCTGGTAGTAACTAAATACCAAGGGTGAAATATTAATCTGAGTGAATTCTCAACAAGAGGTGATCAGTTTTGGGTTTCAAGGACAGAGTCAGGAGATCTGAGATGTAACTAAGGAGATTCTATTCAGCACTGGCCTCTGATCAATCCACCCTCCTCTGAAATCCCTGCAGCTTCACCATACTCTTCTTGAAGCTCCTGCAGGCACTTCAAATGCAACATGTTTTAGTTTAAATACATTATCTCTGTCTGCTAAATCAGCTCTCTCTGTGCCTCCCCTAATTAGTGGAAGAGCTTCTCCGACGATCTTATCCCCTATGGTAGAAAATTCAAAATCATCCTAGACTGTGTCTCACCCGTATGTCCTCTTTTTTACCACGTACCAAGATCTGACAATTCTATTCCATGAAAAAATCTTTTGAGTCTGACCTCTTCTACAATCCCATTGCTGCTGTCAAGTTTTGGAATCGTTTCCTAAATGGTCTCTTGGCCTCTGTATTAGTCTGTTTTCACACAGCTATGAAGAAATACCCAAGACTGGGTAATTTATAAAGGAAAAAGGTTTAATTAACTCACAGCTCTGCATGGCTAGGGAGGCCTCAGGAAACTTACAATCATGGCGAAAGGGGAAGCAAACACGTCCTTCACAAGGTGGCAGGAGAAAGAAGTGTGAGGAGCGAAGCGGGAAGAGCCCCTTATAAAATCATCAGCTCTCACGAGAACTCACTCAGTATCATGAGAACAGCATGAAGGAAACTGTTCCCATGATCCAACCTCCTCCCACCAGCTCTGTCCCTAGACACGTGGGGATTACGAGGATTACAATTAGAGATGAGATTTATGTGGGGACACAGAGCAAAACCATATCAATCTCCAACCTCTCGCTCCTCCAGTCCCTGCCCCCGACACTGCTCTTGGCATTCCAGTCCCTGCCTGGTCCATAACCTACTCCTTCTTCATCTGCGAAAGGGAGGGTAGTGGGAGCCATCAGCCTGGGCAGGGAAGAGTGTTTTCTCACTATACTGTTTAGAATGGTGCCAATACAAAGCACGTCAACTTTCAGCCAGTTTATTATTGGGTTTAAATTCTCTACACACAATGCACTGCTTTTGCCTACACCTGAACGGTGTTCCCACTCACTCTCCTTGGTGTGATGCTGGAGATAATATGATCTGCCATGAAGGTTAAATAAAGCAATGTTCACTGAGAACTCAGCCCAGGCCCCTGTACATGCTGAGCATTTTGTTAATGTAACAATGATTAGTAATAGCATTGTTATTGGTTCCTCATCTCTGGCAAAGCCTTCCATGCTTGGCCTCCCTCACTCTCTTCCACCTTCCTAAACCCTACACTCCAGCTATGCCAAACAGTTCACTCTGCCTTAGACACACCAAGTTCTCCCATGTTCCTCAAGCCTTTGCAAATGCTCCTTATGCTGCTAGAATAATGAATGTCAATTCATCATTTAGGATCCAGCTTATAGTCATGCTTTCCATGAAGCCTTCCTCAAATTAGCCACACAAAAGGAGTGAATCCTCCCTGTATTCCCATGGCCCTCTGCTCATGCCTCCTCTTTAAAGCCTGCCTTCACTGGAGTTCCTGGAAGGAAGAGTCTGTTCAGCACTCATCTCTGTATCCACAGTCACCAAAATTGTATCTGCCCCATAATAAATGCCCAATACTTGCAGGGATTTTGCTTGTTGGCTTGTTTTGTTTTGCTGGAATGAACGAATAAATAAAAGGGAATGATTATGACTTCACCCTAAGCCTAGCTAAAAGTTTGGGTAGTGACAGTTTTGGTCATTTTGTGGAACCTGATAGCGGATCCTTCTTTCTATGCCCAAAAAAAAAAATCCCAAATAGTAGAGTACCTGTTTTCCTAGGGAATTGACCTCAGCAACCGAAGGAGAGGCGATTCAATGCAGGGATGCAGGGAGGGTGATGAACAGGTCAACTCTGTCCTCGCAGCCGTCCCTGAGAGGGCGCTGTTCCCAAATCGAAGCCCCAGAGGCGGAGACTGAGACACCGGCGCTCTCCCCCGGGACTGGGTCAGCATCCCTCTCCCCGCGCGGCCGCAGGTCTGGAGCAGAGCGCCTGCCCACAAACATGGCGGCGCCCTGCGCGGCTTCCCGTCGCCGGGACCGTGGGGCCGGCCCTGCCTTGCCAGTACTCGGGGACTTCCTCCGCGCGCCGGCTTCCTGCCCAGCTGGCATTTAAACCAGCGCCTGGGGCTGCAGGATGCTGCTGCGGATGCGGAGCTGTCCGCGGGCTGGGCAGCGTCGCCGCCTCCCCTGAGCCGCCTCGGTCCGGCAGGAGCGGAGCCGAAGCATCCCTTGCTGCACGCAGGGCAGAGCAGGCAAGGGCTGGGGGCCGATCGGGGACCCCGGCACCTGGCAGTTTCCTTGCAGGTTCGACTTTAATTTCCAAGATTGCACCCCTCCTCCTCTAGCCCAGATCATTAATCCTCCCTCCGGCCTGGGCTGCTGGATGCAGCGGCGGCCGGACTTGGTCCCAGGAGCAGGGAGAGTGCGCTCCCGGCCCTCCTAGCCGCGTGCCCGGGCCATGGTGCGGCTGAGCTCCGCGCTTGGGTGAGGCGGCGGCGCGGCTCGGAGCCCGGTGGACCGGTCCTACGGGACATCTTTCCCTGAGGAGGAGTCTTCCCCTGGGGCTGCGTGCCGGGGGCGAGCGGCGGCCGCGATGTTCAGCTGGCTGGGTACGGACGACCGCCGGAGGAAGGACCCCGAGGTTTTCCAGACGGTGAGTGAGGGGCTCAAGAAACTCTACAAGAGCAAGCTGCTGCCCTTGGAAGAGCATTACCGCTTCCACGAGTTCCACTCGCCCGCCCTGGAGGATGCCGACTTCGACAACAAGCCCATGGTTCTGCTGGTGGGCCAGTACTCCACTGGGAAGACCACCTTCATCAGGTGAGCCGGCCCAGGGTCCCGGCAGCCCACCCCGGAGCCCAGCGCCTAGTCCCTCCGGTCACTCCTGGTGCTCCACTCCTGACAGGGTACCAATGGGAAGCCTTCAGTTGAGGGCTCTGAAGATATATGTGTTTGTGCAGGCGTCAAAATCTTACCCCATAATTTTTGCTGGTCCCCCTTCCCATGCTACCCAATACCTGTACACTCTACTTGGCCCTTGGCTCTAGTGGTCAACCTGAAGTATTCAAGTGTAAAGCCATTCCTGGTCTCCCCATCTTATGGATGATGAAATCGAGCCCCAGGAGGCACAATGGAAGAGCTCCTGGTCTCTGGAGCACCTCATGCTGGTGGGGATGTCTTGCATCTTCACTTTTTAGAAACACATCATTTCGGGCAAAACCTCTTCCCTTGCTTTTCAAGGGGCTTGGCACTCACGTGGGGGCCTCACAGTTGCAGCTGAGTTCTGATGGGTGCAGGCCTGGGGACGGAGGTGGCCTGGGGATGCTACTTGTCCTCCTTTTATCATTTCCTTCTCTAAAGCAGAGCTCCTGTGTATATATGTATCTTGGAGACTCCACAGAGTCCAGAAGCAGAATGTTTTTTTTTTTTTCTTTTCTCTTATTTGATCTTAATGGCTCGATAATAATATTAAAGACTCTTAGAGGTGGAAGGGATATTGGCATTGTCTCATCCAGTTCCTGACTTTGCAGGTGAGATAACTGAGGCGCAGAGAAGTTAAATGAATTGTGCAGAGCCATCTAAAGAGTGGGCAGCAGACCTGGGATCTAAGTCCTAGATGCATGTGAGGAGATGGTTGGCTAAACGCCTGTAACTCTGAGAGTGAGTCATCCATTCCCTTCAATTACAGAATCCTTGGGCTGGAGAGAAGCTCAAGAAGTCAATTTGTTCACCCTGCATTCAGAGAGGTCCACCAGAGGCCCTTCCTATCTTTAGATAACAGGCTTCTCTCCAGTCGTCAATCCTCCCAACTTCAAGGCCGGCCATTTTTCTTGGCCTCTTTTACAGCCATTCCAAACTGTTGAGAATGCTGTCGCCCTCTGTCTTAAGAGTCAGGCTCCCACAGACTGAGAATGGAGTTTGGTGGCCCCCCAAAGTCAAGCGTGCTCATCTCCTGCAGAGGGTTTGGAAAGCAGGGGTACCCGTGTTCCTATTCCTTGGCTGTCTGAGCATCCACAGCATGTGAAATGCTGTGCTTTGTTTGGTGAGGAGAGCAGAAAAGTTAACAGTCTAGTTACTAATTTTCTAGGTACTAATTTTCTCTAACATCGACCTTGTAACGCAAGCCTTCTGGAAGTAGCACCATGCTAATAGGTCATGTCTAAACACAACACCACATTGAGTTTGTCCTTGTGGAGTACACAGCCTAGGGCTCAGCAGCTTTAAGAGGCCAAGTGATTTCTGAAGGAGTTTGGGAGGTGATGGGCCTGTTGGCTCTTGTATGTTTTGTATTGATAGAACTGCAAGAGGCCTTTGAGATTAATCTAATCCATTGCTTCTTAACTTTCTATCTTTAGAAAAATGTACAGGCATCCCAAATTTGCATATAATGTTGGGAGTGCAAGGGCCATCTTTGGACTTTAGGGTGGGAACCCCTGATCTAAGCCATGCCCCTTGTTTTATTAAGCACCCATTGCTGCCAAAGGCACTTCAGAGCTGCCTGGGTTGTGTGCAGGGTTTCCTTTGTGAGCCCTGGCCTCCACTTGGCCCATTCATGCCTCAAGGGAAATGCAGGCCATTTGCAGATGGCCCTTGCCCTCTCAGCCTTCCCTGGCTCTCTGCACATATGGTATTTATAACCTTTCCTACATTATTTGTAGCTTCTCCTTCCTGGAGTACGATCACTGACAAGACAACATCCATGCCTTAGCATCTCCAGGGCCTCTTCCAGGGTCTCAGCTATAGGAGGTTCCCAGCAGACATTTTGCAGAATGGAAGGGAAGATGGGGAGAGGCGAGGATCCCCAAGCAGCAGACAGGTTTAAGTGCCTTTTGTCTGAGACACTCTCCCGGCTTTGCCTGAGTCATCGCTGGCTGTTAACTGGGTCTAAGAAAGTGGCAGAGTCAAATTGCCACAGATGATTCCTTATCTGAGGGAGACAGCAAGACTGGGAGAGACAGATCTCTCTTCTTTCTTATCCTCCATGTGCAATAGTTCCCTCTCCCCACTCATGTCAGCAACTGAATTTAGCTCATGCGTCAAAAGCTGTCTCCCCTTGGGGGAGTGTCAGCCAACACTGTAGGAGGGGTCGTACCACAGGGAACCCTCCAGAACCAAATCGTGTACTTTTCCTCTTTCTCATAAAATCCAATAAACAGTTGTTTTTAATTGGAAAATATAGAAAAGAATAAATTTAAAGAAGAAAGAAAGTCACCCATAATCCCATGACTTAGGAGAAGCTATTTTAATTTACATATAAAACATTTATATATAAAGCATATAATTTATATAT